GTGTGTGTGTGTGTGTGTGTGTGTGTGTGTGTGTGTGTGTGTGTGTGTGTGTGTGTATGTATGTATGTATATTGTCAGTTCATGTGAAGCTAAACTGAATATTTTGAGCAGAGCCAAATGTCAAAAGAAAGTTGTTTTGTGGGGAGAGGGAATTCCTGCCTTATCTGAATTCACAAGACGTGACGTGCGTTCTCTGATCTTTGTTCTGAGAATTCTCCAGAACATCTTTGCGTCTTATATTTAAAACAAATGATCTGCTTCTTTAGCATCCAGAAAAAGAACAAAATATCCTTTGTTTCAATGTGGAAAATATAATTTTAGAACAAGTTAAAGATGGTTATTATTCTGGAAGTATTGTAGAGTTTTTTTGTATAATGAAAAAGGTTATCGCAATAAATGACATATTATATAAAAGCTTCAACGTACTTTAAAATTTTTGTAAAAACATCCAAACACATTCATATTCAGCAATTAAATGTCTTTTTCTTCCCTCAGCTTCTATATAAAGTCACAACTATGCTAAAAATTTATCAAACACACTTGACAAAAAAATCTTTCCCAGTTATTTATAGCTCCTATTAACCTCACCTTTGACCCTTTCTGGTACAAAAATGTTTTCCAGTATTCAGCCTGTTTATTTCCTGTGCTTCCTGACACCTGTGAAAATGGCCCTTCTTCCTGTTGTTGTTGTGTCTGCCCGGGACGGGAATTTAAAGCAAGTCTTTTTTTCTTTTTTTGTTATTGTTGTTGTTGTTTTACAAAGTGACGTTGCAAATACTTGGGATTTATAAGTCCTTACATATGCCAGCCTTTGTTCAAGACTTGTGTGTTTGTTGAAACGACAGAGAAATCTGAAGCAAATAAATTGTTTCTGTGTGAAATCTTTGATCAAAACGTTCAGGTAAAACATGAACAGGATTATAAACTCATCTCATCATGTTAACATAGAATAAATCAGACATCAAGGTGATGAATATATTTAAAAAATTCTTTGTTTGTTGGCTTTCCTTTGAGTTTACCATTTGACTTTAGTCTTTATTAAGTGAAAACCCGAACAACTTGTTGAAAAATGTTAAAACAAAACAATAATAAATAATAACATTAGGTCTTTCTGTTATTTCTGTTCTTGTAAAACTAGAAAAAAATATTTAAAAAAATACAAAGGTAACACTTTGCAATTGGCAGTTAAAAATTTAAAACAATAGTTTGCTATGTCACAGCGAAAAATACAATTTTATCTGTATGGACCTTTTTTGGGGGGAACTAGTTTGAGTCAGTATTGTGTTTTGTAGTAAATTTTCAAAAAATATATAATTAGTCTTATGCATTTGGATTCTTCAACGATTGGAAAATGTTTTAATTCTTTCTCAAAAAATCATTTGTGCCTGCATCACTGCTCATTATAAATTAACTTTAATGACCACACCAAGAAAAACACCTAAAAAACAAATAATTTATTATTATTTATTTTTTTGTAGTGTTTATTATTTTGGCTCAGCACAAAAAGTAAGAAAATGTGTGTTTGATTGTAACACTGCTTTTAGGCAAAAAATCTTATACAATTGGAAAGCCTGTTGATTTCTCTTTTAAATGGTGCCACATTTATTAGGAACATGCATTTGTGGGGTGAGCAGTAGAGCTGAGGATGTGGGTTGTGCACATGAAAAAACAGCTTATTTTGCTGTTTCTATTGACATTTGTTTTAAGCTTCGTTTCCCCCGGGTGCTGCCAATCATTCTGATATAAGATTTACTGCCAAAAAGCATTGTTGCAACAAAGAAATAATCTACCAAACACACACGACCTTACTTTTTGTGCTAAGTTTAGTAAAAATGAAATTTTATTCAATCAATACTGTTGTTTTCACCAGTGAAATGTGTTTTCACTGTGTCTGTGTGTTCATGTGCCTGTTACCAATACAGTATCTCTTGAACCAACAAATGGATTTGGTTGAACTTTGCCGAAAGAAATTGTTGGACAATGGCTGCCACAGCCAACTGACCTTAAAATAAAAAAATAAAAAATAGCTATGACTCAGCCAGACTTGGCCTTAACTTGTTTTTGTTTGTTTCTGGTTCAGTGTATGTTACAAGGGACTCAAAATGTGGTCTACTACTGAGCAGGACATCAAAGTTTTACTTACATTTGGTGTTTTACTGCTCGTGGATTTCCCTCAACAGCCATCAGTGTAGCTTGTTTCATGTAAGCAATTAAAAAAATGCATTTTTGAAGTAAAAATACTAAAATTGTCAATCGTAGCAGAGTACATTAAAGCAATAAGTTGTAGTTGGTGTAAAATAGTAAAGAACTCTAAACCTCAAAGTACTCAGAATAAGTACATCAAAGGTTAAATTCAAGCATTACAAAGTAAACGTGGGTACTTTTCAACCACAGAATCACATTGCAAGGATACAGCCACTTAACTCAAGGGCAATGTGACACACACACACACACACATGTGCACGCACTCAGATGCACACACTCAGAGATGTCGACAGGTATGGGAGCAATCTGTGAAGCGCTCCGGCTCAAGTGTTCCCCTCGTTCCCCTGAGAACCGACAGGCTGACGTCCCGCCACCAAACAAAGGACCCTGGAAAATAACAGGAAGGCCATGGTGAGAAAAACCCTTCTATGTGACTCCCTGAACACGTCACTGCCGCCTCTGCAGAAACAAAGGTGCATGAATGAAGTAGTAAATAACACTGATTTACTGCAAATAGATGTG